TAGTTGTATATCCAGAAAACTATTTGCCCCCATTAAATATTTCAAGGTGCCCCCAATAAAAAATTGAACATCCTCAAATAATGATAGTTTAGGTCACTAAATTGACTATATACGTAGTATATGACTATAAAAATGTTTATTTTGTTTATAGCAAATTTAATTGAGGTATATCAAGTAATATAAATTATGAGAAATTAAAAAATGATTCGAATATAATTGAATCTAGATGAGATAATTGAATTCAATATTCAAAAATATGAACATTCGTTGGATACTTGACTGTAACTTTTGTCAATGTCAAATACTCCATATACAAAAACTGATTTAAAACAATATCCTAGATAAAATTAGCTTAATCATAAATAAAGAATTGAAGTTGATAGAGTATATGGGCTTAGACCATGGCCCCCATACCTTCTCATTGCTTGTCTTTTTATTTTACTGTTTTTTCATCTTAATTTCAGGTATTTCCCCTTGATATTTTCATTTTTAAAAACTTCACATCATACACTTAATAATTCAAAAAAAACACTGTTACGTCTTTTTTTAATTTATCCTTTATTGCATCACATTATTTCATCTTCCCATCATATCCTCAATAATTTATTATCTCTTTTCACTATTCATAGGGAGTGTTTGCAACTGTTTTTGCTTAAAAAATGTTTTTTTGGAGTGATATGGAAAAAGTGATTAGTGGTAAAAGTTGATAGTGTTTGAGAAAAAAGTGATTTTGAAAAGTAAAAGTTGGTAGTGCTTGGTAAAATAAGTGTTTTTTGTGTAATAGAAAAGGGAAAAAAAATCACACGAAAGCCGGTAAAAATTGGTTGTGTTTGGTAAATAAGTGTTTTTTTAAGCCAAAAGTTGAGAAGTGTTTTTTCTAAGTTGTTGCATACCAACCCATAATCTCACTCACTTTCAAAGTGGCAAGATCTCAATGCTACGGACGTACTATGTTTACAATTACCAACAACCAAAGGCATCATATCTTTTTTCACATGGATGAATCAGAATGTTACAGTTGAATTATTTAAATACAAAAATTAATACTCCGTATTATATAATGATTTGGACCAATGAAATGAATGGTAGGCACGGTCCCCACTTTTTAAATGGGTATCGTAGTTGTCACCTTATTTATACGCCCTATAACACTAGCTCATTCTCGTACGATCACACGCGGATGCAGAGATTTATGAGAGCTGCACATCGGGTATTAAAATAATCCCTCCGTCAGTCCGTCTGACTCAATATTACCTGCTTTGATTTGAGTATCAGTATTAAAATAATCCCTCCGGATGCAGAGAATATTTATACTCCGTATTACACTAGCTCATTTAATTTGTCTTACTTTTTTTATTGTTCTAAATTATTTGTCATATTTCCTTTTTGAAAAGAAATACTTAGTATACATCATTTTACTTTATTATATCCAAACCACAATCATAACTTTTATTTTTCAACCACTTTAATAAAAATTGCGTTAAACTAAAACAAGTCAAATGAAATGGGATGAAGGCTTTGAGCTACTCCTCCTATCAGGTTGACCTTTTAGGGTGGAACTTTGGGTCTTAACATGGCTATAAAACAATAAAACATTATATAAAGTTTCGGGCTACTCCTTCTATCAGGTTGATCTTTTAGGATGGAACTCTGGGTCTTAACATGGTATCGGAGCCAATTCTGGTTGTGGTTTGACTGGTTGTTTAGCACCATGATTACGGGTAACTTATTAAGGGTCTGTTTGGCCCATTTATACACTCTGATATTGTTCAGCCCGATTTGAACTGTTTAAGTATTTGTCCCACACCGGAAAGCTATAAAACAATAAAACACTATATAAGGTTGCGGACTATAAAACAATAAAACACTATATAAGGTTGACCTTTTAGGATGGAACTTTGGGTCTTAACAAAGGTAGTGCTAAATAGCTCAATTAGATGGCCAATTCTAAGCTCAACAATCTTATTGCGAACTTCAACAATACATTGGACGATAGAAAATACTTCATTTACTCTTATCCATTTTCTCCAAAATCTTAAAATTTATCATTAGTGGTCTTAAGCAAGCTCGTTGTCTCGAGAATATATTAATCTTTTTATTACAAGAAATGTGACAATTTATTGGTCAATCCGAAGACTTTCTTCATGAAGTGAGCAATAAAATAAATTGATTATTCTCCGTCTTTTCTACCAAGCTACTTGCATTGCCTCTTGATTTTAAATCAGTTTATCGTTACATATATTGTCAAGAACATAGATTGTAGGAGACCAAATATAAAGAATACGCACGATGATTGTATAATGTGAACCTCGTAGCTCCGCTTTGAGTTAAACTACTTCCTTGATATAATCCTCCCCCGATGATAAGTTCGCTCTTTTCTAAAATCTCTATCATGATTTCATATTGTTTTTTTGTTGAAACTCGTCCCAATTCACTAGATTCTCAACAATAACCTATACACCACCATATTGATTTCACGCACTCAAGATCTCACCGTAGCTCTTGGGAGAAAAGTCACTGATTGGTCCAACATCGTTAGGTTCCCAATAAGAAGCAAACTTTCACACTACCGCTTTGGGCAAGACAAAACTTTGATTGTCTGACTGTCGACAGCTCGAAGTAGTCCCGGGAGTTAACCTGCAGGTGCATCTTTTCCCCTTGTGAAGTAAGTTCATGGGTCAAGTCTTCTATCACTTTCTTCTGCCTTTCGACTTCCTCTTTCTTTTTCGGCTATGGCACTCTTTTTCTCTCCTTCAAGTGTATCACATCTAATTTTCAGTTCCTCTGCGATTCTCACTTGATCTCTCCAGTGTGTAATAGTCTGTTTGAGTTCCTTTTTAATACTTTCGGCAAGCGAAGAAGATTCACGAGCTTGCTCTTCATACATTTTCACCATATCTTGAAGAGAGCATAGCTTCTCAGATAGATCCCGAGCTTGGGTATCTTTTAGGGTAAGTTTCTGCATAGCTTATTCCAACTTTGATTCTGTTTCTGAGAAGCGAGATTTTGTGAGTGTCAGTGTTTCTGTTAACTCAATGACAGTGTCCATATGAGAAGAGAGCTGTTGAATAATGGCCTCCTTTTCTTCACTGACCGAAACTAGCTTCTCCAGACTCCTACTGCACTCTCTCTATTTCCAGCAGCCATTGGGTCTTTTTCCATGCCCTCCAGTTTCTGCTCTTTTTCATTTAATTCATTGGACAATTCCTTATTCTTTTCCATGGCTGAGCTTAATGCAGATTCAAGTTCAGCGATTCGATCATGCATTGATGCAAGCTTAGTTTCTAGGATCTTGACCTCAACTTCCAATTCTTCTTTAGCAGCAAGTTGGGAAGTGTATCTTCCTTCTGTGTCAGCAATGTGTTCCTGCAACTTCTGGTGGTTGAGCTCCAGTTCTTCATATCTCATCCCGCATTCTCCTAACAGCTCTTTTGTAACAAAGAGGTCCTCCTTCAACTTTGTATTTAGGGATTCTGATTCATCTAAATGTTGGGAAACTTTTTTCAGTTCCATCTCCAGAGCTTTGACCTTTTTTTGTGCTTCTAGAAATTCTATGCTCTTTCCCATGTCAGCTTACACGCCAGGAGTTTCATTTTCTTCTACTGGTATGAGTTCTCCCTCGTCAAGTACAATCATTTCCTCTTCTTTTCCGGCTTCCTCTACTGTATTTAACTCCCCATTCATTACCTGCAAGCATCCCATGTACAAAAATTAAAGTGCCCATATGATTCCTTTATGTATGAAGTCATACATAAACAAATTACTAAGGTACAATCATTTTTAGTAGAAACCTTTACTAATAATTGAAAGGGTGCCGTGATGCGGTGATGCCATTTTATGACTCTACAACGGAGTCATCCACAGGACCACAACTCACAAGGGAGTCATTAGTCATATGAAGCTCCATGGCCATTAAAGCACTCATTCCATTTTCCTTGTAATGTGAAAGGATTTGAGCTTTTATTTACAATATAAAAGAGGATATTAGGCTAACCGCAACCCAACTCCGTCAATAAACTAAATATTTCCCTACTTTATATGTATTCATTCAGTCAATTCAATTTTTGCTGCAATCCAGCACTGTCAATATATTCACACAACAAAATTTTTTTAAATTAAAACTTTAGTTTTATTGTTATAAATCAATAATTGTTGCAATTTTTTGTTGTGAATAATTGTGATTTGAAAAAATCAAACATTACGATGTAAAAATAAATAAATTTGGAAATTAAACTTTTAGTGGTTATTTCAGACCTATTTTTTAAAGAAAAATAATTGAATGATATAAAAATATAGTTTAACCTTGAGATCAATATTGAAATTTCTAGCAATTGAAATTTAATATATTTTTTTTCAACTTTATATATTCAATATTGATGCCAAATGAAAGAAAATAAAAAGTTATGAATTTTGATATATTTTTTGTAAAAATTGGAATGAAAATAAAAAAGTTATAATACATTAAATAAAATTGGGATATAATTTAACATGGGCCCATGAATTCATTTCCATACACTCAACAAGCTTTAGAGCTAACTGCTTGGTCATTTATTCCGTGAATAAGGGGGGCTCTCAATCCACTTTAGCTCCTTAGTATACTATGAGTTGTAACTGTTTTTTGCGGTGAAAAGATCAAAAATAGTTGTAACTGTTTTTTCACCCGTGAATTGCTATCAACCTTGTGCAAAACAATTAAGGAGCTATACATAACTACATTATATGAATGTGTCTTTACTTGTCCATTTCCACGGCGGTTGTTTCGATATGTGCGTGGTATAGGTCTCAACTTGTCAATTTCCATAGACTTCCAGTTCATTGAGAAGAAGCCTATGCAAAACAAAGTCCAAGTGGTTGGCAAAAGCCAAAAAGTTATCATAAACACTGAAGCAGCGTTCCTCTTATGATACAATTTTGGCTGATTATAGATATGTGATGGGGTCAATTGCTAATATTTATGTCTAACATGTGTGTGAGTGAATAAGATTTGCTCACCTGTTAGCTAGACAAGCTACTTTAGAATCTTATTGATCTTGATAAAACTATCAAATAAGTCCTTGTACTATATCGAGAAAGTCAATTAAACCCTCGTACTTTGAAAACACCCAATTGAACCCTCGAACTCCTAAAAAACACTCAATTAGGCGAATTAGTAGGTAACCAACCGGTTTCCCGGTTACCTGCCCGCATGGCAGTCCATGTGGTGGTCTACGGGGCAAATATTAAAATTTTCCTTTTCTATTCTCACTTTACTTCTTTCCCAGTTGGCTGCAACACCAATACTTCCCGTCTCCAGCACTTCCTCATCCCTTTGTTCTTTTCTTTTCTTTTCTCACCCTCCAGAATTTCCCATCTCCTTCAACCAAACCTTCTGCGCCACCACGCTTTTTCATCCCTTTGTATTGTCCCTGAAATATTATCTAGTGAACTCCAAGCCTCCATTAATAGAGGATGAACACCGAAATCAATTTTAGAACCATAAATCAACTTCCGTTCTTCTGCCAAATGAAATTGGAATGCACCTGGGGTTCCAACGCAACCCTAGTTGCTCATCTGTGGCAGATTCAACATAATTGAGCTTCTAAATCGCCATTAATGGCGTATTGACATTAAAATTGAGCTTTAGCAACCTAAATCAATGGAAAACGTTGTGGGAAGCAAATCTAACCTAACTTAACCTAACCTAACCTAAAGGAGGTTACAAGCATGATCCTGAAAGTTGAAATCGGGACCTTCAAAACTGGTTTGGATTGTGAGTCGAGCTCCCAAGCATCCATTAATGGCAGAAGCTCCAAAGACAAATTCGAGCGATGGGTATTTAGGTTCTTGAGGAAGAAGAATCCATTAATTGTCTGGAGGAGTTTCTCGAGCTGATGAACCACTGAGCATACACAGGAAGAGTGCTTGCTGGATGGAATCCCATATGATATGGATTAGGACTCGTTACTTTCTTTTATTAATATTGGTTCTTTTATTTAGTATTGTTATAATTCCTAGTATAGCTAATTGTAAGCAGCAACAGGAAGTTACTTGTAGTGGGCTTAGTGGTGTCCACATAGCAGCAGTTATTTCCCATGATGTAGTTTTATTTATAGGCATCATCTAGGATGGAAAACGGGGATTGATACTTTGGCCAAACTACTCTTCTACCTTCTTCTAAGCTTTCTTTTCTTCCAGTAAATACAATTCTAAGGAAGACTTTTGCTTCAGCCAGATTATTCCTCTTGATCTTTTCTTCCTTCCAGTAAACAGAGTTCTGAGAATCTATCAATTGGTATCAGAGCATGGATACCCGGGGCAAATCTAATGCGGAATTCCGGCAGGAGATGAACGAAGCTATCGCCCGTCACGACAACCAATTTGCTCAAATTGCTGCAGCTCTACAAGCCATCACCGTCGAGCTACAAGCCAGTCGGATGGCTAGGGAACACCCAGACCATGAGGTGGACAATCCGTTTGCTGCTGAGCATAACCGGAACGGACTTCGCCCTCATGATCCCAAGGCGCGATTCCCAAAGTTCAGTGAAGGGGATCCAGCCGGGTGGATATACCAAGCCGAGCAGTACTTCGATTACTACGATGTCGCTCCAGACCGGAAGGTAAGGCTCGTGTCCATGCATCTGGAAGGCCTAGCTCTTCAATGGTACCGATGGTTGCTGAAACGAAGGGGACCAGTCACGTGGGACGAGTTCGTTAGGGCTATACGTCTCCGTTTTGGCCCTACCGAGTTTGCAGACCCTTCTGAAGCTTTATCCCGTCTAAAACAGTCTACGACTGTCGCAGTTTACCAAGAAACGTTTGAACAACTGTCACACCAAATAGACGACCTGCCCGAGTCTTTTCTCATTGGATGTTTTTCGGGAGGCCTGCGTGACGAGATTCGGCTTGATGTTAAGACCCTAAAGCCTCGAACTCTCGAAGAAGCTTTTGGGTTGGCCCAATTAGTGGAAGAAAAATCACGGTTGGCCATCCGCACCCCACTTTCTGTACAACCGGTAGCTTCCAAACAGTCAAACACAAGTGGCATTCTTGGACCTCCGCCGGTTGCTCGCCTTGATCAACATAAACCGTCCCCACCAATCAAACGCCTTCCCTGGGAGGAGATGCACCGCCGACGCTCGCTGGGCCTTTGCTTCTCTTGCAACGAACAGTTTGCTCCGGGTCACCGTTGCAAACACCAACAACTCATGCTACTCGAGATGGGGGAAATTCCGGTAGATTATTCTGAAGAAGCTGCAGATAGTCGTGAAGCCGGTCCTGATATGGTGGGAGGATAGGGACTGGTTCCTCAACAGTTCCCAAGCATTGACCTTGAGGACAAGGTCTCACTTGGAGGGGAAGGTATTGATGAACCACTGAGCATACACAGGAAGAGTGCTTGCTGGATGGAATCCCATATGATATGGATTAGGACTCGTTACTTTCTTTTATTAATATTGGTTCTTTTATTTAGTATTGTTATAATTCCTAGTATAGCTAATTGTAAGCAGCAACAGGAAGTTACTTGTAGTGGGCTTAGTGGTGTCCACATAGCAGCAGTTATTTCCCATGATGTAGTTTTATTTATAGGCATCATCTAGGATGGAAAACGGGGATTGATACTTTGGCCAAACTACTCTTCTACCTTCTTCTAAGCTTTCTTTTCTTCCAGTAAATACAATTCTAAGGAAGACTTTTGCTTCAGCCAGATTATTCCTCTTCTTTCTTCTGATCTTTTCTTCCTTCCAGTAAACAGAGTTCTGAGAATCTATCACGAGCCTAGCGACGACGAGGGAGATCGGAACCACTGCACCATTGAACTGTAAAAGATAAAATTGACCATATGTCCATATCTACATACGCTGAAGTTCAGGGCTAGAAGAAGAGAAAGGGAAAGAAAAAGATTAAGAAAAAGAAAAATTAAATAATTGCCACATGGCCCGCCACATGGCTTAACACGCCTGTAGATAACCTGGAAACTTGTTGGTGACCTGCAAAATAGCTCAATTGAGTGTTTTTTAAGAGTTCGAGGGTTTAATTGGGTGTTTTCAAAGTACGAGGGTTTAATTGACTTTTTCGATATAGTACGGGGGCCTATTTGATAGTTTTTTCTATTGATCTTTGGTATCAAATGCAATCACTTTGTTTTAGAGACTAGTATTGTACCCGTGCGTTGCACGGTGGATGAGTTTGAAAATGGATAAAACCACCGTGTTCCATCAAATTTAATTGGTTACAAAGTTAAATATCATAAGTTATGCCACCAAGAATAGAAAGTGTAATATGTAAATTTGATGTATAGCACCCGTGTGATGCACGCTGCGTGAATTGATATATAAAATATATTGCGTACTTCGTAATTAGTATCTAATGTTAACATGTATCCATATCGTAAGAAACTTAAATGATAATGATATAAAAATAAAATGTAATAATGAGACCGTATGCATAGTAATATTACAAAATCATACATACAATAATAACATTCAAGCGTTAGTCACAATTTTTTTATGATCGTTAATATGAATTAGTAGATGATATCAGAGTGAAATGAAGAGAAAGATAAGAAAATAAAGTATGATATAAAAAACATAACATAAAAGATAAGAAAAAATAGAGAAGATATAAATAAAAATGATAAGATAAAAAAGATAAAAAGATTTTACCCACACACACACATATATATGAAGGTTGAAATATAGTCCTTATATATATGAAAAATAAGAAGTAATTTTAGACATTAAAATGAAATAATAAGTGGATCGAATTAATTTTAAAGCGAAAAATGCAGTTAAAAAGGTGTAAATAATAGGAACTTTTTTGAAAAAATAAATTGAGAAATGTCTATGACTATGGAAAACAGCTCATCTAGCCAAAACAAAAGTACATCTTGCCTCAAATTAAAATAAGAATTATAAAAATTGATTTGTAACCTTTTAATTGATTTGCATCTTTAAGTATCGTATATGCACTTTTGCTATTAAGTATTGCATATTTTGTTTTAACATTTCCCAACGCGATTTTTGATTTATTCCATCCATTTTAAGTGATCATGAGCTTAAATCACTTCTCACTTTTCATATGAAGACCTCGTTGCACACACACAGAACGGTTCCGGCGAGAAATGACTCACAGGAAAAAACATAATAAAGATAAAGAAGATAAAGAGAAAAAATGATAAGAGATTAATCCGTAACACGAATACTCACTCTTCACTTGACCTTCTCCAAAGTCATGCTCTCATCCAATTCGAGAAGAAGCACATCAATCCCGATTTCTCTAATCCACGCTAGGATGGGACTTCTTCATCTCTCCTCTCCTCCCAGCTGCATCTTCTCCACACAGACTCTCAACCCGTCTAACAGTACATCACTTGGTCTTCAATACACATGGCCAAACCACCGTAATCGAGACTATCCCATGAGATATATATGAGAATATAATATAAGTTTTTATACGATTGACTCCAAATTAGAGACTCTAATTTTTTAAGATGCTATTCATAATTACATCACCCGTACTACCATCATTATTTTGAATGAGGATTTTGAGAATTGCATGAGTTAACATAAGTCATTGAAAATAATACTATGTTTTATCAACTAAATATGAAACTTTCATGGATATTGTAATATCAATATGCTTCAATTTTTTAGATCAAATAAATATTTTGATTTAATTTTAGAGAGTATATTGAATTTTGAATTTCTTAATAATCAATGACCACGTTTATTTGTGAGGGGGACTTATCTCTATGTGACTAAAACATTCATAGATACACATTTATAAGAATGATAGTAATTAAATTTAATGGGATAAAAAGTAGCATTAAAACACGCACAGTACATGCAAAAAACAATTAATTTAGAAATAAAATATGGTTTGCGATACTTTACTAATCTCCACTTCTTTTAGTCGCGCTTCTAGTAATTTTCTCATTTGAAATCTCTTGAATACTTTGTTATTCTAATGAATGAATTCCAAGGTCTAAAACATGGTATATTGAGCAGCTTGTTGTCTTCTAAAGAGTATAAAACAATTTAGTATCACACATCAAAAGATGTAAAAATATGTACATTTTAAGGTCAAAACTAAGTTCAACTTCATGCATTTAAAAAACACATGTCACATAATTATAGACCAACCCAATAAAAGATTTTCTAAAACCTAGAACCTGTTGTGTTGTTAAGACACCGTGTCATGCTCGGTGTATGATTTATAATGAAAATCCAAGGTAACATGAAATTGTTAAAATCATAACACAAATTAATTTTCATAATTAGAAGCCTAGAAAATTTACAATGTATGAAATGAGCGAGGTTCCATATAATTAAGATCATAGATTATACTATAAGATACTTTATAAACAACATTAATAGCCTCATTTTCACTTGGAATAAGTATTTTGAGACCAGTATGATTTGTTAATTCCGATATAACAACATGGAATATATAATTATTTATGTCTACACACATATTTTTTTCCAATAACAGACGATAACAGACCTTGATATTCATTGATGATCACAGCATAAAAAGTCATTATCAGATTCAGATATGTGCCTTTGAAATCTCATGGGATGCCTCCTGATTGTTATTCTCCTCAATGTTTTCATCTCTACAACAGAAGGAAATATAGCTCCAATAATTGAATCAATATTGTAAGCATTTCAGTATCACATATTTTCAGCTTATCTTTCCTTCTTTATCAACCACATAATTTTTTATTTCGCACGCTAATATGTATAATCAAAATACAGTTATTTTTCCGGTAGGAGTTACTATAAATAACTATTTTAATTATTTTAATATAATTTTTTTATTTTTTTCCTTCTACTTTTTATTTTTCAAATATAATTATTTTATAATGTAGTTAAACTGGCCAGTTCAACTTTTTCAGTTAGAATTTAATTGGTTTTAGCAAATTTACTAAACTCAACCAATTTTGATGTTACCAAATAAATTCTACATTGAATAGTTTGAAATTAGATTGTTACTCTCTATGTCCTTTAAAATAATAGTTCTCAGTTTGACTTGAACTGGAGTTGAGAAAAGTGAGAATAAAGTGGAAATGTATGATTCTGGTTGAGTAAGAAAAAAGTAAATGAGTGATTGTCACACAAAACCTTTTAAAAGGGGAAATGTGTACTATTTTTTTGGGACAACTAAAAAACGAAAGTAGAAAGTATTTTGTGTGACGAAGGGAGTAATTTGTAAAAATTAAATTAGTACTCCGTATTCGTTTTATAAATAGTACAGCACAAATGACCAAAATGAGATATTTTATACTTAGTAAATAGCTCATCGATCTACTAAGAGTGAAAAAGTTGTGTGATAAGGCGAAATACATGGTCACCAAACGTGTTTGGTAATTTTTTCAAACCCGAAAACCACCTATTTAGGAGCGGTAAGTGTCAGAGAGCACTTACCTAATTTAGAGTCTGGTTGGTGACCCTATTTTTCGCCTTATCAAGCTTATCAGATAACTTTTTTACCAAACACGTAAGTTTTGAATTATGCGCCGATTTGTGTAATAATAAGAAAAATTAAGATTGGATTTACATTTCTGGCTGTATTTGCTGAAGTTATCGTAGTAAACCATTTTAGCTATTTTTCATATAAATTTTTCTTTATTTAATTAAAAAATACTTTAAATACATTTTTTTTCATAATTCAGCAGAATTAGCAATACAACCACTACTTTCAAAGAGAAATATAACCACTTCAGTCATAATTTCATAAATTTCACCAGAATCAACCAATTCAGCCATTTTGGTATTACCAAACGGGCTCCTATTAAGTAGAATTGATATAAAGAAGTGGGGCTAGTCTCAAACCAAGCCCCATAAGTAAAAAGTAGAAAGAAGGCTACTGCTAAGATGGGCCTAGTGTGATCCAAAGTAGTCCAAGGTCCAAGAGAGAGTGTGGCCCGCTGGAACATAACAAATACAAATCCAAGCAATTGAGTTATTGAACTGTCGGCCAGATTAGTAGCCCTAGTGTTCATTTCATTTCGCACATCCATAGCGAGAGGGGGGTCGAGAAAGTTCTGAAGGGGATGTTGGATCTGGCCGGTGTATTACGGATGTGAAGGACTATACTTCGCTGATCGTCGGTTGGGGGAGGTTTATCTCCTTTATGAGCTTCGACGTTCGTTCGTTCTGGAGGTCGCTGTGGTTCTTGGTCGGATTTGCTGCTGGTGTGAGGTGAGTTTTTTGTCCGTTTTGATTTATGATTTGGATGTTTCGATTTCACACCAGTTTGATTAAACGGTTTATGATTTGAAAGCTTGGAATGATGGCGTGAGTGACACCCATGTGGTGGATTTGAAAGACGAAGAAGACGGTGATGCTATTGCTTCTGGTGCTAAACCTTCTATCCCTGTTAGGGCTTTTTTCTTCTCGACCAGGTTCACTCCCTTTTATTAATTCCCTAAAATGTGAAAACTGTGCTTTATTTTTTTCATTGATTCTGTTTGATGTTAATGGCATATAGCCTAGTATGTTTGGAAGGAATTTGGATAAAATTATCATAAAGGAAATTAGCTATTGAATATTCAATTGCATATTCATGTTTAAACTCTGAACTCGTCACTAATTATTTGATGTTTATCATGCTGTGCGTATTCAATCAAAGGTTGTGTACATGTTCACTGGATATTTTTCCTTCGCC